CCACTAATGACTTGTCCGCCACTGCAAGTTATTCAGCTCATGTAGATGAGTTAATCACAGCTAACTTAAATCTTATTGGTTCCAATGTTTCTACTCAAAGCAAGTTTAAATCTAAATCTAACTCAATTACTCAGAAGAAAGGAACATGAATAATTGTGTAAAGACCTACAGGTGGACTGTGTGTATTCCTTGCTTACCTTTTCCCTATCTCTGTTCTTATTAAAAGAAATGGCAAAGTGGATTTTGCATTTTACCCAGCAGTTGAAAGAAAACATACATTGTTTGTTTTGATTATTTCCCTTAACAGTATGCTGCCAAACAGGATCCATTAAGAAACTCCACATGCTACTGAGGTACTATTATTGGAGGATGATGGCAGCATAATTATACAGTACATCATCAGAAATCTGAGTTTGGCAGGAGCTGAAGAATCCTTCAGAGTTTCAGATTAGTCCAAATGACCCTGGCTTTTATTGCTGCTGAATGTCTAGAAAGCAGTGGGATGCCACATTCCTGCAAATAAATTGCTGGGGCCAGGGAAAAAAAATGACACTTCTGTGAGTAACACATTCCTTTGAATGGGAATCTTTAATGCAAGAAAGTCTCTCTTAATTGACTATAATGTTGCGCAGCTTGCTAAAATAAAAAAATAGGCAAGCAGAATATGCCCTCCATGGTAATTTTACACTGTCCCAAACTGTGAAGTTTAAGGCCTATCAACACACCTCAAGCATAAGGAGAATGTAAGATACACATGGATAACATTTGGTCCATAAATTAGGAACACTGGTGATTTGTACTACAATTCCGCAACTGTGCACCCAAAATATCTGTTTCAGGATTTGTTGTGACCCATCATGAACAATACTAATCCCCTGTACCGGCTTTGATAAGCTTCCTGTTTGCAAATCACCAGTTGCACTGATTTGTGGACAAGGAAAACCAAACTATAGTCCAAAGAATGTTTTACTTATTCATCATGATTACAAAAATCCTCACAAGTCAAGTATTTGTACATTCAATAGTTGCTCATTTGCTTAAGAGATTGCCTGAGTTTTGTTAGCCTATCTCATAGTTCTTGCCTACAAGAAAGAAATTTACAGAATTGTATTCCAATGTAAAAGAATACAGACATTCTCTTGCAGGGTATAGCTCTGACCCTACCTGGAAACCTCCATATGTGTGCCACTTTTCAATGCATGTGTACCCATAATAAGATTAGCAGTAGCTTAGCAATTAACTCATTGCATCAATAATGAAGAGATAGGTATATTTCATTACAATTAAAATTACAATATTCCTTTTATTGCACAAACAGCTTACAGTTACATTGGCTAACTAACAAACAACAAAGGGGAATTACATTTTCACTTAGCATTCACATACATATGAACAGTAATCCATCCTCATTCATCCAAATATTACCATATCAATTTCTTCCTCCTTGGAGAACACCTGTTAGGCCACACCCTGTTTCCTTACAGCCTGCCAATACATCATTCTAAAACTTCTATAATGCCAAAACTTCAAAACTCCAGACTCCCTAAGAATATGACTTCAAAACACACCCTTTTCTCTTACCTTGAGAAAAAGAGGCAAGAAAACAGACTGCTCCCTGCCACTCTCAGAATGCACCATCTTTTTCCATAGCGCATGGCGGGTGGACAAAACCACTCTGGTCTGCCACACTTCAGAATTATTAGATTGAGTCTTTTATATGAATATTCTACTGATGTTGTAAACAATTGTCCTGTTTGAAATTATCTTGAGTCTTCACCTCCTGACATAGATGTTGATCTTCAGGTAATGAACCATTGTGTTCTTGGGTTGACTTGCACTGTCTTTGTCTAATGTAAACAGAGATCATTTCCTTTAGAGTTAATTTGGTTTCTGGTGAGCAAATGTTGACAGATGTAAACATATATAAACATTTATCTTACTATTGTCACTGTTTACTTTTCAGTTCTCATTAGCAACTTTTAATTACGGTCCAGCGAACAGGCAGTTAATGATTTAGAATGGTGTCTTCAGTCTAAATTATTAGGTCTCATTCATTCATCTTTCATTCAATTCAAGCCATATATCATATTTTATCATGACACTTAATTATGCCACTCCTCATGCTACTGTTGTGTATGTTGAGTTGATAGAGAACAGAGATGCAGTATGTTTTGCAACATAGACCAGCGGTTTGTGGAATTCTGTTGGTTTTCTTTTGAAATGGCCAAATGAAAATAAACTCTTGGTTACTTTGAAACAGGGAGTGAAGATTTGTGTGTGTGCATGTGAGTGTGTGTGTATAATTGCAATGATTCTAATGACTGACTTCAGGTGAGATGGATTTTAAAAACCCTTTAACTGCAACTATTTCATTTTTAAAAGTAACATTTTATCTTCTAGCTGTGAGTGAAATCATTACCAATGGCAAACAAACTTAATGCTGAATTTATAGCATGATTAACTAATAAAGGAACTGCACTCAGTAGAACATTTTTCATTCTGCCTCCAAAAGCTCTTCCAAAGTATGGGCAGAGAAGAGGAATGACTTCACTAAAACCTATTATCTTAAAAGCTCCAACTTCTTACTTTGACAGAATTTCAACATTATAACTCTCCTGGAATTATTACTAAAATGTTAAATACATTCTTCCTCGATAGGAGCATCTTTCAGCAGTGGGAGCTATTTGGTCAGAATTACGCACTTCTTAAAGTACTTTCTATAGTCAATGGGGCCTTCTGAAATGAAGTACTGAATGATTCTATTTCATATGAATAGTTTTTTCCTCCTCTGATGAATATAGCATTCAGACAACATCATGAAGGGTTGTGTTGAGAAAAGAAAAAAGTAAGGTGAGGCAAGTCACCTGATTCAATTCAGAACCCAACATGGTGATTTCCACCCAGCCCTAATGTCATCTGGCACAATTTGGACCAAATCCAAAACTTGAACCTGAATCAAGATCTGAAAATCTGGATCATGAGTTCATCTGTATTTATGCATTATGTAAACAAAATAATAATAATTTTACATGAAATGACTTGATCACCCTTTCTGCGGTTCTTGTGTAATAATTGTGGATATGGTGCATATAACCAGGAATAAAATATTGGGGGTTGCACTTTGCGCCAGCCACAATGGGAGCTGGTTTGATTCTGCTAGATGAGTACCCTTACATGACCATCAAAGTAGGTGTCATTCCCTGTACCCACAGCATGCTAGCTGAGGAAAGTGGTATAGCCTTGTGAACTGTATCATTACATTCTGAATTGGAACTGACACAATTGTTTGCACTACGTCAAGGTATAAGGATGCTCCAAATCTTTGGAAAAGCTCCAGAGCATCCCCCAACTTTGCCTAATGTGGGACAAAACCACATTGAACATCCATGTCCTGTGTTGAGGCTGATTCTTGCCCACCCCAGCCTATACTGCCTATGTAGATATGCCCTACATATACTTAATCAAGTAGCTTCCTGGCTCTACTTCCACCCCACCTCCTAAAAAGCATAGGGAAACATTTGGTCATACTCCAGTCATCTGCAAAACGAAGCTCCTTCACTCCATGAAGTTGTTTTCCTGTAAAGCATGCTGAAAGGGGAGTTACAGTTGTGGCACTAGTCACTAGTGGAAAAATCATGACTAAGTTTTAATTGTGAATATGAAAGTACTAGAATAGTAACAGTAATTTGTTAGTAATGAGTAACTTAGCAAATCTCATTTGTAAGTAGCAGTAAATGAAAGACATAATGACATGTTGAGTTTTGATTGAGTAACTTGTAAAGTCATTATTTGAAAGTAGCATCACATTGCTCCCCCACCACTGAAATAATGAGACCACACAGCCATATGGGATAACTATGGGCAACTTCGTTAATGTTACCTTTTTACCTTTCTTTGTGACTTGCAAACCAGTTCTTAAAGAGTATGAACTTGGTGTGGAATAAGCTGAGGCAGTGGTCATCCAATGCCTACTCCCCAGCTAATTTGGGCAAGACACCTGGGTCCCCTGAGTGCAACCCCACCTGAGCTGCTCCCAGGGCAACTTCTTAGGGAAACTACACAGACAGTCATGAGACCTGAATTCCTGCCACTCCAAGACCATTCCCATTAGTTATTCAAACCCACAAGTGGGGATTTATCTTCCTGCCCTTCACCAAAATGGGTGCCTTAGGTGCACATCAAGATGTAAAACCCATCCTGGTTTCCCACATGACCCTAAATTATGTCTTACCAACACTATTTAGCCTCTAAATAAATGGGAAGGGAAAGCTAATAATTTGCAATTGACTCCTCAAAAATCCATGAAGACACACAGGAAATGAAATATTATGCAAAGTAACACATTAAGGCAAATAGTGAATAAACGACAAAAAATAATGTAACAAGAAGTGCAGAAATGAAGAAGGCAGCCTCAATTGTCATGTCAGATGGTCATGCACATTTATATTAAATATTCTGCAGGTTTTTATTGAATGCTTAAATATTATATGTATCACATGTTTGAAATTTTGATATTTGTATTACATAGAAGCTGGTCGTCTGATTTTAATATTTGATGGTTTATTAGCTTTATGGCTGCAGAATCATTGCTTTTTAAGTTGGCAATAAAACTAATAAATGGCATGTAGCTATAATTATTTATCTGACTGCATTTGTGAAACATAACGGCATTACTGTTTCAATTACACATCTGATGACTGATCAAGATAAAAGACTACATACAAGTATAATGCAAGTACATGTCAAGCTTTCAGTTCCTACTTCACTTTTAATATCAGAATTCCTAGATTGAAAATTCCCTTTCAAGTTTTGGATAATGAAGCTGGGAATTATTGCTTGATTTGAACATTTAAACTCGACTACAAAGGGAACAGTGATAGTTAATTTAACCTTGTCTCCTGCCTTAAGTTTGCTAATAAAATGAGTATATCGTACTGTCCCTTCTTGCCCAATACACTATCAAAACCTTGCGTTAATAACTAATTATTAATTTATCACAGGTATATTCCACTTAAAAGTACCTGAGTCTTCTCTCATTGGTTCCGCCATTGGAAGAATCAGAGCAGTGGATCCTGACTCTGGGAGGAATGCAGAAATTGAATATACTATTGTTCCAGGAGATGGAGGAAACTTGTTTGACATCAGCACAGATGAAAACACACAAGAAGGGATCATCAAGTTGAAAAAGGTATTAGATCCTAATTAATTACAAATGGGTACATATTGTACATTTTAAAAATGGCATCAGTCTTAATGAGGCTTGAAAAGAAATTGTAATGTATAGATGTCTAAATGAATGTTTAAAATGCACACTTCTCTAACTCTTTTAAGTATTTTTCCTATATTAAAGCATCACTTCATGAACTATTTCCCCTATTTAATAATTTTATTTCTGTGGCACTGTTTCTTCAAACCCAAGTTTACCTGCAGCAAAACCACAAAAGAGAAACAGCATTATGGTAAGTTAAAGATTAGGGATGTCTGCATTTTGATATCACAAACAAATTGCTCAATAAGGCTAAATAAAGAGATCAAGCAGTAAGTCAAACATAGACCAATTGAGAATGGATCCTTCCAGACAGGCCCTATAACCAAAGTTATGATCCCAGGTTTACTGCTTTAACCTGGATTATATGAGTCTGCACTGCCAGATAATCATGGATAAACAGAAAACCTGGGATATAGGGCCTATCTGAAAGGGTCCAGTATTAGGAAGTAGAGGAAAACTCATAATTTTGACTCTGAAGCATATCTGACGTTATCATCATCAACAATAGTTGCTTGACCACTCAATGCATTCCTGAACCTTTAAAAATATTCAAGTAATGGTAACAGTCACAGTTTGGGTACTATATACCTATTGGCTTAAAGAAATTGTGCGCTAAAGTCTTTCCCTTATTAGTTTCAATAGCTGTTGTAATCCAGTCTTGCCTGCAGGGAGGTGTGTGTAGTGCATTTTAAATCTCATAATAAGATTGCAGGCTATTTGACTTTGAGCTTTCAGGCCAAGTACAACTTCTGCTATTGCCTTCGAACAAATGCATATCTTGGGTCTTCTAGTGCCACTTTCTGGTTGGAAACAAAATAGCATCCAAGTAGAATAAAAAAAGAAATAGGTTCTGCTGTGTATCACACTATTTCTCAATGGGCAAAACTTAGATAACAGTGTTAATAAAGTTAACAGTGTTATCTAAGTTTTTCCCATTGAGAAATAGTGTGATACACAGCAGAATGCAGCACTGCCTGTTGTTATTCCAGATTGTAGCCTGAATTGGTTCATTTGCTACACAGTTCATAACATCTCATGTGAAGCAATACCAATTCTAAGACCTGTCTTTGTAAGGCAACAAGCTAAAATAGATTGCTTTGCTCCATGAGCTTGTCCAGAGACTTGTTTGCATACACATTAAGCTGTCAAAAAAGGCTGGAATCTTGTTGAAGTACATTAGTATAAACACCATTAAATAATTAATTGCACAGGGGCGTCATCTCAAAAAGGGTTAACCAATGTACAATAGGCAAGAAAGCATACAATTGGTTGTTCAGGCTGGATTTACACTGTTCTATATCACAGGATTTGATCCTGAATTATTTGCTTTCAACTGGATTATATGAGTCCACACTACCAGACAATCCGGGATAAGAAGATCATTTGAGACCAGATCCTGGAATATAGGGCAGTGTAGATCCAGTCTCAATTATACAATCCAGTGTAAAGCTGATGCAATATTACCCTAATCTTGCTGCTCAAAATGTTTGCTGAATTTGTGTTACACAAATGCAGAATATATACTTTCATATAGGTAGGTAAGTTTATGTGTTCATGAACATGCTATAAGGTCCCATCTGCACTGCCGTATAATGCGGCTTCAGAATGCAGATTAACTGCATTGAACTCTATTATATAGCAGTGTAATTTCCTATAATCCAGTTCAATGCAATTTAATTTGCATTATACGATGCTACACTGACCATATAATGGAATTCTAACTTCATTATATGGCAGGGTAGATGAGACCTAAGGTAGGACCTCCTCACATTTAAACTTTAAAACACTTAATCAGCATGCATCCCACATTTTTTACAACAGGATCCTGACATGATGCATTCACCCTCCATTACACAACTCGTACTGTTTAAAGTAATCTGTTTTACTCATCATACCATGGAAGCTTTGCCCTTTCCAATTCATTATAATTTCTGCATCCGTCACTCTCTGCTTCTTTTTTTTAAAAAAACCCTGATACTTCTGAAAAAAGATTCCACAAATTTGTGCAAATTCTTTTGCAAACACATTTTTAAAGGCACTAAAGAGCTACAGAGGTCTTCTCTTACCACATAATTTAAGAGAAATGGTGAAGGATCCTTTCATGACAAATCTCGGGATCCACAGGGTCCACCCAAGAGACACACTGTCGGAACACAGACGCCTTTAAGGGCCAGACTCAGAGTTAGTTCCAAAACAGAGTTTATTAAACAAAGGAAAAAGACTCAGAGGCACTTAACTCAATGTCTCTGGTCAAAACTCAGAGGTAAAAACCAGTCCTGGTTCAAAAGGTTAACTGAAGTAATAATCTGGATTATCTGGAGAAAAGAACCGGATTAAACAAAGTACCCCAAAAGCCACACAAAACAGCACAGCATGCAAATGGTTAACAAAACAAAGAAGCCGCAGGGAAGAAAGTGTAGTCAAGCGAAGTCCAGGGTCATAGCAAGCAGAATCTGAAGTAGTGAAGTTCCAAAGTCCACGGAGGCAGCGTCGTGGTCAAACCGATCCAAGGTCAAGGAAAGGGGAAATCCACATTCATGAGAATCCAAGTCGAGTCGAAAGCACACATGAACAGAAGCAGCAACATGCAGATCCAGGACCCAATGCCAACACGAAACAGGCAGCAACAAGTACCCAATGCACGGACGTATACCAACACCTTGCCTTCTGCAAAGATTCCCCATTTCAGAACCTACTTTTATCTTACACATCATCATCAGAAGATGAGCTGACCTCCGCCCCGTCATCATCCCTTGCAGCTGTTCTTGATTCCACGCGTGAATTCCTACTTCCATCCCTCCAACTTCTCCATCTTCAGTCAAGACTTAGATCCCTCCAAGACTCAGATGTATTCCCCGAGTGCCAGTCTTCATTATCAGAGAACCCTACAAATGTATCACTAGACATCGGCTCCGCACATACATCTTGTACCTCTTTTACCTTAGTCCAGTCCAATGTGTCATCCCCATCTTCATCACTCCCTAACCCATCGCTCCCAGAGAAACCCGCAAATGATTCTTCATCTGTGGGAGCAGTAAGTATATCCCGGATCCTCTTCCTCTATTGCTCCTCATCTGATTCTTGCTCCTGAGTAACCCTCTTTGTTCCCCTATTCCCATCCATTGTATCTCCTTCCTCTCCCTCACTCATTGAGCCTTCATTATCAGAGAACCCTTCGAATGAGTCCTCATCGGTAGGTGCCATAAGTATATTGCGAATCCTTTTCCTTTGTTGTTCCTCATCTGACTCCTGCTCACGAGTACCCCTTTTTCCTCTTCTGGTGCCCATACTACTGCTTGCAACGTTACTTACAGGCTCTACTACAACACCCCCCCCCCAAAGGAGATGTCACAGCACAAGGAACAGAATGCTTACTGTTTTGCTGATCATACATAAAAGCAGCGCATTGCATACAATTTATATTTTTTAAAAAATACAATATGTAACCCATGTCCAAATGCTCCATTTCAGACATCCTTGTATGCAGATTGCAATGGGTTGATGATGAAAGGAGACAAACGGCATTTGATGGGACCTGTCAAGATTCATATGTAAATGAGGGTCATTGTCAATGGCCTTAAAAACACCAACAATAATTTCAAAAGGCTGATGCTTCACCAAACTACAAATCAAAGCAGTGCATAGCAATGAGCCATAACAATTAGATTAGAGATGATGCTCCTCAAATAGGAGCCCAAGGTGCTCCTGAAGTAGCTTCCTCATTTGGTTTGGCTGAGCACTAAGAGTACTGTATTATATGAATTTAATGTGCACCCTAATTATGGGAAGGTAACTTAGCAAAGAGAGAGAGAGAGAGAGAGAGATGAGCATTAGATTTGAGTAAATATGGTATGTTGTCAAATGGGAGGATGGTGTACACATTGTACATAGACAATGAGCCACATGACACATGCTTCCCTAGAGAAGAATACATGCCTTTTACTATCCCAGATAAAATGGCCCTGAAAGATGTCTGCAGGAGCGTCATATAACAGATATTTTTTATGACTGGACTGTTTATTGCATTGCTGTGTGCCAATAACACACTTTCTTAACTGTGTCCAACCTAGATCTTGGAATCTGTCTCCTTTCTAGTGACATTACAGAACGATATTTAACTAAGAAAATTTATGCAGAACACCAAAGTAGTAGTAGTCTGTAGTAACACAAAGGATATTAAAAACTATTAGTATGTATACACACTACAATGTCTTGTGAGAGGAATCCTTAAGTGATTAGAATCTCCACATTTTAGGATGTATTCTGCAGAGATTTTGCACATAGCTGTTTCATTCAGTAAATATTTTCTACACTGGAAAAGAGTATTTCTACATGGGACTCCAATTTTTATGCAAAGAAAGCTGTTTCCTGTACAGAAAATATTTCAATTGGTTACATTTTTTGCATAAGGCATACATAGTTGATTTTCACACATAAAATAGCTTTCTCTGCACAGGAGACAGACTGTTCTGTGCAATATATATATATTCACACAGAAATACTATTGCCCAAGGGGAAAATAATATGCAAAACAATCACATGCAAACCTCATATAAAATAAATAAAATATTATGAATAGCCTTTGAAAATTGTTGCAATGAAAAGTATTGCTAAAATTATGCCTTGTCTCCTTTGAAAAGAACATTAGTGGCAGATAACATTACTAGCAGCCAGTAGAGCTTTTGAATCAGGAGATGAAGGTCATCCAAAATTGAAGGCATCCTTTCACCTTTGTGTTTATGAATCTATTTGTGATTATGGCCAGGAATAACTTTCACTAGCTGTTACCAAAGTAGCAAACTTTATTTGTCTGACTATAATCTATCAACTGCCATTATTATCTGTACTCCTGTGGGACTTCTCTTGATGCTTGTTTGCAAACATCAGCTGGCACAGCTATCAGCACATTAGATCAATGT